GCCTAATTGAAGCCCCTACAATCAAATCCTTCCTTATCCATTTATAAAAAGAGTCGAACGAAAAAGAAAAAAAACCCAACCACTATAAATCACACTCTTCTACCCTCATATATATACTATGAAACACAAATTCTGACACATACACTAGGACACAACATTAATACATATACTCTCACGCCTATAATATAAAAAAATATAGGACACTGATACATATATGATAGTATTTGAGTTTTATTTATCCATTATTTAAAGAGTTCACTATGCCAAAAAAGACCTTTAGCAGCGCTTTTTTTGGCCTTTAGCAGCGCTTAAAAGCGCTGTTAAAGGTAAAGGCAGCGCTTTTTTTTTGCCTTTAGCAGCGCTTTTTTTTTTTTGCCTTTATCAGCACTTTTAGCAGCGCTTTTTTCACCCTATAGCAGCGCTTTTTTTTTGCCTTTATCAGCACTTTTAGCAGCGCTTTTTTCACCCTATAGCAGCGCTTTTATAAGTGCTGCCTAATCCCACTTCACCTCCCCCCTTTAGCAGCGCTTTTTAAAAGCGCTTTCTTAGACCCCCCCCTTTAGCAGCGCTTTTTAAAAGCGCTTTCTTAGACCCCCCCTTTAGCAGCGCTTTTTTAAAGCGCTGTCTTAGACCCCCCTTTAACAGCGCTTTTCTAAAGCGCTTTCTTAGACCCCCCCTTTTCCAACCTATAGCAACGCTTTTTTAGGCCTCTTTTTGCCCCTTTAGCAGCGCTTTTTTTAAAAGCGTTGTCTATTCTTCACGATTTTGAATTTTTTTTTTAAATAATCACATTTTTTATATTTTTTTCAATAAACCTGCTTATAACAAATACATTCCCTGCTTATAATCCAGGCCTTTAGTTCAACAGTTTGCTCTTTTATATAACAATTATTTTGGCCTTATTTTTGTGTATTCATCACTTTGCAATATTATTCACAATAACTAAAGTATACATTATAATTCATCACTTTGCAATATTATACACATAAACCTGCTTAAATATATTACAACACAGTCCGATCCTCAGAACAACATCACATATACAATCAATTTACATATAATTACAAATCCGATAACTTTACAAATAGATACATTATAGAATTCTCAACTCAAGAATAAATTGACACCATTCCTCCTTAATTTCTTCCAATCTTGCTTTCGAGTAAGTACCGCACTTGAAATCATCAAAATACTACATAATATAACAGAACATGCACGATTTAATTTTAAAACTAATTACTCAGATAAAATATCAGTTAATTATCAAAATGAATCATATAACTTATGAATTGATCCATACCATGATTGGAATCTCTATTTGACTAGAAAGAATAATTTTCTTCATAAAGCGCAATACAAAAGAGATTCTAAACACACAAACCTCATTTCGAAGCTCGGCGTAGTAAACAGATCCAAAGCCACCTCGACCGATTATATTTGCCGCGCTAAATCTTTCAGTAGCTTTGGCTAACTCCTCATACGAAAACTCCACTGACTTATCAACCGTAATACCTGTCAACCTCAGAGAAGCAATAGTAGTCGATTCGGAGGCCTTATCCAAGCTGCTTCCACAACCTAAATCCATGGAACAGATAATACTCATATACAGTTTCACATTTTGCATGAAAACTTAATCTTCAATTTAGAACTAGAAAATCTCACTATACAGTTTACAACAAAATATGATATACCATGTTGGAGTTGACTATATTGATCTTCGGACACACCCGGGACTGGTAGAAGAGTTACATGAGCAACTTTTTTTCTTCTATATAGCACAAAATAGAGAATGAGTGCCAAAAGTAAAATCCCAAAAGCTCCTTCAACAACTATGCCAGTAATGGCTCCTTTGGACATTCCTATATACAACAATGTCAGCATCACATAACAATATTTATTTACCCTGCCATGATTTTTCATGTCACTCTTTTAACTTTATATATATATATATATATATATATATATATATATATATATATATATATATATATATATATATATATATATATATATATATATATATATATATATATATATATATATATATATATATATATATATATATATATATATATATATATATATATATATATATATATATATATATATATATATATATATATATATATATATATATATATATATATATATATATATATTGATTAACATATTTATGAAACTGCAATGTGTACTGTACATCACCTGATCTGCAAAAATGAAGAAAAAAACAAAGCATAGATGTTCAAGTTAGAAATTAAAAATATATATATATATATATATATATATATATATATATATATATATATATCGAAGAGAAAATGTTGGAATATTCAAATCAAATTTAGCATGTAGGATGTAAGGTTATGGAAATTTCAGCATACTTTAGCTGCAGTGGTGGAAAGTTTCCATATTCATCTGCAAAATATGATTGATAAAATAATCAGAAAAAACTATAAAAAAATAAGTGACAATGCATAAACTAAGTATAATATAATCTGTATTGTTTTGTTTTAAAGCCAGATAGTGCCAATTGTTCTTAATAAATTAAACATTTTTCTTGATCAAAAGTATAAAAATAAGCATCTCTTATAGCTTCTTTTTTTATTAATTCTGTCATGTTGATATATTTCCAAATGCATGGGTGGAATATGCTGAATCTTTTTCATATTCCATTATTTTTCATTACAAAACTTCACTATCCAACAAGTGTATGAAATTGTGTCAAAAGGAATGTGAAAGAGACATAAATAGGTGGGTTTAGCTAGGCTCTTTCTTTTGAATCCTACTCCTTATGTCAACCAAATCAAAACTGAAATATTCACTGAAACAATGAACCACATAACAGTTTTCCTTCGTTGTTTTTCAACTTTTGTAGCTAGCAGAAGAAATAAGGAGACTATCAGCAACACTTTTTAACCAATATTTTTAGCACAATGAAATTAATCGATGCAAACATTAGCGGCAATAGCGAGTCGAACAAGCATGAGACCTTAATCAATCTATACCACAGATAGCAACACATCATAACTATTATATTTCCAATTCTACACTGCATATGTTATGTATTAAGAGAATGTGAGATAGTTATGGAATGTGAGATAGTTATGGAATGGTTATGGAGAATGTTAAAAACAGAATATAATATCAGTTCAAATATTATATGAGAATAACCTAAAGCAACTAAAAGATTCAAACTCCAATAATGCATTCAACTATGAGAACAATAAAAATGGAAAATGAAAAACTTCAAATACCTTAAAATGGTGGAAATGCGCTGGTGGAGGACGGATATGACCGTCAAAAATGGACGGATGACGGCAGAATGAGGTGACGACGGAATGACCGGAGGAAAGACGACGAACGGAGGCTGTCGGACGGAGGCGCGGACGGAATGCGTCGACGGTGACTTTTCTAATTCTGAATAGGGCAACGTTCGCGAGTGGAAATAAGAAAGAAGAAGACTGTTCTGATTCTGCGAAAATATTGAGATTTTTTAAATTTATGCTACTTAAATCTATAGCAACGCTTTTTTTGGCATTTAACAGCGCTTTTAAAAGCGCTGCTATAGGGCTGCCTTAGGACCCCCTTTAGCAGCGCTTTTTTTGGCATTTAGCAACGCTTTTAAAAGCGTTGCTATAGGTCTGCCTTAGGACCCCCTTTAGCAGAGCTTTTTTTGGCATTTAGCAGCGCTTTTAAAAGCGCTGCTATAGGTCTGCCTTAGGACCCCCTTTAGCAGCGCTTTTTTAAAAGCGCTTTCGTAGACCCCCCTTTAGCAGCGCTTTTTTAAAGCGCTTTCTTTGACCCCCCCCCCCTTTAGCAACGCTTTTTTAACAAGCGCTGTCTTAGGTATGCTATTTTTTTGTTTTTTTTTTCATGACCCTTTAACAGCGCTTTTTTAGAAAGCGCTGTCTTTTGTTGCGCTGCTAAAAGTCATTTCTGGCGTAGTGGTTGAAAACATTCTATGCAAAATTAATGTTTTTAATGATAACATTTGTTCAATACATATTTAACTTTTTTTATGTGTGTGAGATTTGTTAAATAAATGTATTAGGCGTATTGAAGCAAAGTGAAGAAATATATATTTTTTTATGAAACACTTATCTCAATTGTTGGACATATATTATATGAGTGTCATACGAGTATCGAATATTGATTTTTAAAGTGTCGAGTCATAGAAAAATACTATTTGGGGGATTTATGTTTGACTTTTTAGACATTTCTTTAACTTTTCAAACACATGACATACGAATATCATATAAATATCAATCAGATACTGCAGCACACCTATTTTTAATTGGGTGTGCGGTTAGTTCTTAATTTTTTTTTAATATATAAGCTTGTACATCAAATAGGCTGAATCGTGGTTGAAAATAATATGCATAATATTTTTAGCTATATTGTTAGCTAGATAGGTTTTAAAAATTAGTCTATGATAAAATGACTCAAACAAAAAGGTTGATCCTGATAACATTATTTACCATTTTTATGAAATAGATCATATTATCATTAATTTATACATCAACAATCAATATCGCAATGTCTATACCAACCAAAAGCATGAAAGTGTTTTAAGTAACATCACAATCAGATTAGGTACTTACACATATGTATTCAATTCAACCACATGTAGGTCAACGTGCTATCCTACACCCCTTTTTTATCGAACAATAATGATATACAACACTACTAGTATTTTCTGTTGTACGTTGAATCTATAGCAAGCCATCATCTATCATTTCTTGTGAAATGATACACTGATTAGAGCAAATTATCACCCTCATATAAATAAGACTATGTCATTTTAAATACTACTAATTTTTTGTGCGCAACATGGACTAATTTTCTGTTGCTATGCATTGTTTCATGGTAATCATATTATTATTATTCTCATTCTTACATGCTCTTTGGTGATATAGGGGAACAATCAGAGAAAATAGTTTTCAAAATTCTCACAAGAAGCATGGCCAAGTGAAATAAGATCATGGTTGTTTTAAACTAAATCAGACCATTACTAAATGCCGTCTAGCATCAATTCTTAGATCTTCCTTCATTTTTCTAATGAAATCTTCGAACTTTTTGTTTAACTCTTCTGTACTTAACATACAACTATCTTCTCCTTCTTCTACATAATCTTCTTCCCCTTCTTCTTCTTCTATATTGTTTTCTTCAATGAGAACGTAATCAATTTCTGACCCTTTATATTCCTCTTCGTCATCTCCATCAAATAGTTCAACTTCTTCATCTATCAAAATTATCTTTTCAATGTTTTCTTCTTCTACTTTTTCTTCCTCTTCTTCAGCACTTTGTTCATCTGGTTCACTAGTTCTCTTCTCAGCTTCTCTCTCCCACATTGGCTCATTGACCTCAACATCAAGTATATGAGATTGAGAACCTTCTTCATTTTCTTCTTCAATATATTGCGATGATGATGATGAAACTTCAGTGTTATTAGAAGGTTTGTGATCATCAGTATCGCTAGAAGATGATGAGAAAGATTTGGTTAAACCAACAAAAACAAGGAGACCATTACAAAGGAGGAACATGCTGTTCTTGTCTATGTTATGAGTGTATAGCTGAAAAGGTAAAGTTGAGAAATAGAATTTGAAGTAATGAAGGAGAACATACAAGGAAGAAGGTGAAAAGATGAAGGAAAACACTGATATTGAAATGAATAATTGTGTAAATATAATTAGATTGGAATTAGCTTTCATTCCATGAATCAGGATTGATATATTTTGGTCTTTAAGTTGAAAATTAGTTTCCATAGTGATGAAGAAATGAGAGAGGTTGGTAAGTAGAGATGGTTTGGTGAATTAAAGGCCATGAAGGACTCATTATATATAGTGGTGGATGGTGTGTGGAGAGGGTGTCTCTATTATTACTTTTGTTGGTTTCTGAAGAGAATTAAAAGACTGTGCATACACAATCTAGAGACCCATAAAATCATAGTATCTCATAAAATAGATGTTACGGATCAAATTATTATAGATTAATAGTCCATATATTGTTCACATAAATGTGAATAGTTGCAAAATTATTATCTGGCAGATGTTAGGCCGTATGACAAAGATTACATCTATTCATGAAGATATTTTGTCATGTACATGATAGGTACTTGAAGGGTACGTAGTAGTAGTGAGTTGTCATGTATTATTTGTCATAGAAATTTACAACTTTTATCTTCTTCGTATTAAACAAAGAGCAAATTCAGGTTTGACTGTCAAGTAGCATTCACGCTATTCAAATTGAGGGGTGATGCGGCAAAACAAACAATATCCAAAGTTAATAACAGCGGCCAGGCATAGTGATCTTGGTTGTTGATAATAATAAAAATAGTGGATGTATAAAGAGGGTGGGTGCCTAAGGATTAGCCATGAAACTTTTGAGTTAATTAACAATATAGATATTGTAAGTCAAGGATATTGTTTTAATGTGAGCTTAGACTTAGCATTATAATAACTAAATTAAGATCCGGGATGAGATGAGTTTTTTTAAATATTATTATAAAATATAAATATAAGTTTTGTTTAGTATATAAAATTAAAATTGTAATTGTGACAATAAGATGATGAATAAGATAAAACAAAACGAGAGAAATTAAAAGTTTAAGTGATAAGAAATATGTTTGAGTCATAAAAATATAAATAAGACATAACAATTTAATTTTAAAATTTGAATTATACGTATAAAATTATTGTCAGAATTCAACCAATACTATGCCAAAAAAGACCTTTAGCAGCGCTTTTTTTTGCCTTTAGCAGCGCTGCCAAAAGTGGCGTTGCTAAAGGTAAAAGCAACGCTTTTTTTCAATGAAAAAGCGCTGCTAAAAGCTCCCTTCAGCAACACCTTTAGCAGCACTTTTTTAGCCCTTTAGCAGCGCTTTTGTAAGCGCTGCATAATTCCCCCAACCATCTCCCCCTTTAGCAGCGCTTTCAAAAAGCGCTGTCTTAGACCCCCCCCTTTAGCAGCGCTTTTGCAAAAGCGCTGCCATAGCCCACCCTTTAGCAGCGCTTTTTACAAGCGCTGCCTTAGACCCCCCCCCCCCCCCCCCCCCCCCTTCCAAACCAATAGCAGCGCTTCAGAAGGTTCTAGATATGAGATTACTATCTAAAGGACTCTGAGGCTCTAAATTGTCATATGTGTGTTGATGGAGGCGACTTTCTTTGAGGGTCACTTTGCCCATCAAACTTGGCTAGTGAAGATGGCTTGAAATTCTCTCCTACCAATGCCCCCATATTTCTTTAGAGTGGGGTTAATGGTTCGGAACCTCTATCTTCTAAGGAGAGTCATCCTCATGCTGGTGTTATTGGTTCAGAAGAATGTTGTCTTTTAAAGTCTGATTCGAGTGATACAAGTCATCCATGAAGGCATACATTTCTACTATGACGTCTTCATCTCCGTCAGAATAAGTTATATAATATAATTCCTAATATAATGAGAATACAATGGTGAAGAAGAGCTACCTGATGATGCCAATAGTGAATCATGGGAAATCCAACATTATGCTCGAAGAAATGGCTTCACATTACTTATAGAATTTTACATGAATTTTAGAGTAGAGAGTTCAGTCAATAATATAAATATGCTTAGTCAATCTAATATCCCAAGATCAATTATATAGTTAATTATACTAAATACAATATAAACAATTATATATCAGATGTATAGCATTTTATTATAAATGAGACACATTTGTAAAAAAAAAAAACATCTCAAATGTTTATCTAAAATTTAAAGACTTACTTAAACAACTGGAAAAAAATTCCATATATTTATCAAAAACTTTAAAAATGATTGGTGTATAAATCTTTTTACTTATAAAGAGTTTAACCTCCACTTTTCTAAACAATATAAAACTTAAAACTCACACTTATTTCTCAACACAACTCTCACTTATTTTCCAACATAATAAACATGTTATAAAACATGATTGTTGAAGAAGAACCATAATTGCAAATTTAGTTTTGCTCCAGATTGCACCACTAGATCATTATCATATTGGTTTTCAATAATTTATATTTGATGTTCTAAATTAATGAATCCATTAATATCTTAAACTAAATCTTGATATATATATATATATATATATATATATATATATATATATATATATATATATATATATATATATATATATATATATATATATATATATATATATATATATATATATATATATATATATATATATATATATATATATATATATATATATATATATATATATATATATATATATATATATATATATATATGATAAAAATGATTTTGTTGTAAAAGTAATTACAATTAAAAATTGTTATAAATCTATAAATTTTCACATTTTTTTGTGCTAGTTAATATATCTAAATTATTGTGTCCCAATTATATATTTTCTATATTTATATAAAATATAAACATAAAATTTATTGTGACGTTTAATTCTTTTTAAAAAATTTAGTGGATTATAAATTTCTTTAATAAGTTATGTGAATATTCAAAACAAATAAATAAATTATTTAAATAATTCAAAAGTTCATAAATAATATAAAAAATTAGATGAAATCTATTTAAAATAATCAAATGATTGAAATGTATGTCACTCATCTCAGAAGAGATCTGATGATAGCAAACGTGAAAATAGTGTAGCAATTTTGTTTAAAAAAATAAATATAGAAACTATTTCTTAAAACTTAATTTGTCAAACATTCTATTCACATATCTCCTCTTTCAAGCGCATTATTGACATAAAATCGGTGATATAATTTCATTAGGTTAAGCCACCGAATTATTAGACTCACTTCATTATTGAGAATATAATCCTTTATTTGGTATATGATCATGTTCTCTAAACCATGCCAATCAATAATCAATAATTTCTTTAAAATTATTAGAGTCACCCTTGCCACATGATACAACCACACAACATTACTTTATACGTAGCTTTCACTTTCTTTGTATTATTGACTTAGCATGCATGCATGCATCAGTACTTTCAAGGACACAAGGACTGTCATTTTCTAGAGTTTATAATTCTTATTGTTTGTCGTTCAAATATCAATCGTGGTTCAATTAAAATTGTGCCTTTTGTTTTGTGAGTTAGTCCCACCAAATTTAGAAGTATCCTTTGAGATCTCAACCACATTGATGTTACTGTCTACAAAAGGGAAAGATCAACTTAAGTCACTTTCAACTTCAAACTGAATTCACTTCACTCAATTTTTAGAGGATCATTTGGGATTTATCTTTTGAAAAATGAAATTTCATTTAAGAGTATGAAAATGACATGTCCATAATTTTCTACCATATTTATGTAACACGTTTAAATAGGAGTGTTCATTGGTTCGGATAAATTCGAATCAAACCGAAATCGAAACTAAACTATGGTGTTTGAGTTGGATATTTTTTTAGTTCAAACCAAATCAATGAAATCTGATGTTAATTGATTCGGACACAAATTTTCAAATTTCTACCTGCAAATCCTTCTATCCAAATCAACCATATTAATTCATATAATTTATATCATTATAATGAAAACTAGTATTTCCTTCGTTCCTTTTTAAGTGTTGTTTTTAAAAAAAATTATATTTTTTTTAATTGTTGTTTTCAAAGTTTAAAGTAGTAATGATTATAATTTTGTCAAAATTACCCCTAACTATTCATGATGAAAGAAAAAAAGTGTATCAAAATAATTAAAAGTTAGGGGTATTATAGGCAAAAGAATAATCATTGTTTGAAAAATAACAACAATGATTAGTTTTCTTGGTATGTATAAAAAGTATAAAAAAACCACAATTAAAAAGGAACGGAGGGAGTATAAGATATTCAATTTTAAAAAGGAAGAAAAATTAAACATTATTTATGACATTCACAATATATATGAAAACACGAAAATGAATAAAAATATTATATTATTATAGAAAATTAATTGATGTAAATTAAAAAGATTTAAAAATATTTTTTGCATATTTGTTTTTAATGTATCAGATCAATTCAACCCAAACCAATTCATTATTTCTCGATTTGGTTCGGTTTGAGTTTTATAAAAAATGCGAAAATCCAATGCAACAAATCCATATATTTTTTTATTGGTTTGTGCATCAAGTTTCCTCAAAACTGAACTAAATCGGCCAACAAACACCCCTACATTTAAAAATTATCGACCATTTGTATGACAAACTCCTGAGTATTTTTATTTTTGGTACCAATTGAGAATTGTTTCAATTTCAAGTGTGCAGATTATACTATTCTCCAATTATTTATGATGATTTATTTTGTGTAATTTTTTCTTTTAATATGTATCTTTTAATATGTAGGAAAAATAATATTTACAACTAAAGTTTCTAGTGTTATAGATGAGTTTATATTTTTAACAGGTCATTATTCTTTGAGGGTAGATTTTTAGTTGACGGGGTTGTTGTTATGAATGAGTTGGTGAACCTAATTAAGAAGGGTAAAAAGTCTGGTTTCATTTTTTAAGTGGATTTTGAGAAAATATATGACTCAGTTAGTTGGTCAATCTATATTATTTTCTTTCTATATTTTATTTTATTGATAAATGGAGAGGTTGAATTTGTGCTTATGTTTTCTTTGGCAATTTTGTGGTTTTGGTTAATGTTTTCCAACCCAAGAGCATCCAAAAGGGGTTAAAGCAAGGTGATCCCTTGACTCATTTTCTTTTTCTCTTGGTAGCTAAAGGTCTGAGTGGGTTGTTGTCTAGAACTGTGGACCAACAACTTTTCATGGGTCTTCGAGTGGGTTCCTCATATTTGGCGGTCTTTTATCTTTAATATGTAGATTCCTCCTTTGAGTATCTGTGGTCTATCAAGGCTATCCTCTGTGTGTTTGAGCTAGACATATGCCTTCAGGTGAATTTGTTTAAAAGTAGTCTCACTGGGGTGAATTTTGGTCATGCTTTCCTTGACCTAACTTGTGATTTCTTTCATTGTCAACAAGGGTCTCTCCCGTTTAAGTATCTTGGTCTCTTGGTGGTATCGAATCCTCATTTGTCTTTTACATGAAAACCCTTAGTCAGTATCATCATTAGGCGATGTTACTCGTGGAGGAAAAAGTGTGTGGTTCTTCTTAATTATGCTCTTAATGCAACTTATATCTTCTTTTTTGTCTTGTTTAAAAGATGCATGTTAAGGTTTGGAAGATAGTTGTGAAAGTTCAAAGAAGGTTTCAGCGGGGTGGTGTTAGAGGATGGTCTAAGATCGCTCAGGTTAGGTGTGTAGAAACATTATGCACTAAGTATGTAATTTTGATGAAGATAAAAGAATATCAAAGGTTCAAGGGTCATAAATAAGTAAAAGGTTTCTCAACATTAAGTATCAAGAGATATCTCAAAAGGATCAAATATTCACTAAGTTATTGGATGACAATGATGGAAATAAACATTGACCACAATGCTAAAAGTGGAAGTCTAAGCTTGTTTAAATATCAAGATTACATAAGGCATTAGATGTTGATTAAAAGGAATTGATCTTGTTGCAAAGGCATTCGATTACAATTCATAGCATGTATATCCTTAACTGCTTAGAAAATCATTCATCTTTTCATCTAAAATGTTTTTAAGCACCCATGCATCAATATGTTGCATGCCAAGTTATTTACAAAAGTATTTTTCAAGTTACACAACAGTGTAAGTTGTTACACTATGTTGATAACTGATTACTGGTTCATTTTTTCTAATATTTTTGAAAATTGTTAAAGGTATAACTTATTACACCGTTTATGTAACCGGTTACATGGTCTGGAACTTTGATTAATTTGAACGTTTATAACTGCATAATGCATTCTTTCATCAACCATTAATATTCTAACCCAATGTAAACCTTTATGAAACATCTACCAACATGTACAATGGATCTAAGATGTTCCATAGGGTGATTATAAGGTAATGAACATTGAAATTTCAGTTTTACCTTTTTCACAAAAATTTAAACTACAATTCAAATAAAGTTTTAGAGTTTTTCTCCATCCAAAATCTTGAAACTTTTTCTGCATAAATTGTCATATCATTGCAAAAATATTATGAGCATTTAAGATTTATTGAAAGAGTAGATCATTTCCAATATTTCAATTGATTTATTGAAACTTTTTCTGCATAAATTATCATATCATTTCCAATATTCATATTTCTTCAAGAGTTGTTATTGATCACCAAGTGTGTGGTGACTTGATTTATAAAGAAAGCGTGTGTCCTTTCTAAGAGTATTTTGCAAATAGAAAGTGGTATATTTTATGTTTGTGTTGTTAAAATATCCTTTGAATTTGGTTGATTCAAAATTCACCATAGGTTTTATGTTTATGTTAGAATATTGTTAGAGTGGTCTTGGGGTGAGGCTTGTACAAAGACCTAACATAGTGGAAAACCCTTCAAACTGTGAATGGACTAGATGTACTCTAAAGTTGGAAATAGAAATTAAGATAAATCTCTTGTGTTCATATATTTTTTGCACTTTAAAATTCATCACTTTACATTATTACTAAGAACACGTCTTTTATATATCGAAGAATATTGAGAACATAGTGTAATAATGATAAAAATCGGAAAACCTTAATTCACCCCCTCTTAGGTTGAATATCTATACCTACAAGGTGGTTTGATGTTTGTTAGTCGAAGAAGTATGGGGGCATTCGTGTCTTGTATTAAGCGAGACGACCTGAAATTCTAAAGTAAGATAAATTTGATTGTCTTTTCTTTAATATCTCATATGGAAAGATCTTACTTTTAAAATTGGAAACTCTATTTACGACAAAGAAAACAATCAACAAATCTTCCCCCCCCCCCCCCCCCCCCCACACACACACACACACACTAATGAGGTGCAGCCCAAAAATTCAATATAATAGCAACGACGAGGTCAACAAGATTTATATTCTTGCTTTTTCCTTTTCCATTCACTTCATGAGAATATAGTGCAGTGGTTTCATGTATGATTCCATGTTGTATATAAAATTCATTAAATAAACTAGAATTATATTCTTATTAAATTGATTTTCAATTTCATTCATAAAATCTTAAACATATTAGTTTTACAAAAATATCATCCTTAGTGATGATGTAGAAATATTCGTGTATGTTTTGAACATCGCACCATCATAAGACATGACGAGAAGAGTCAATATTTATCTACCAACCATCAAATCCACCAACCATGTTGATTTTAGTGATCATAGCATTAAAATTTCACATCGGTCAAGTTAACTTATGTATTAGGGGCAACACCAGATTTAGGCTTGCTCTTACATTTCTTAGCTATATGGCCTAATTTTCCATGATTAAAGGAAGAGAAAACAACATTGTCATTTATTTATGGTGGCAGTTGTTTCATAGGAATCGGGGCCCTTGAAGGGTTCCTATTCTCAATTTCGCTTACGACATTATAGTTCTGATTCTTTAATGATTTTCAATTCGCTTTAGAATCGCTCTGAATTTCTTTATGTTTTTTTAAACAACTAAGACTTTTTCTTTTTAAATTTTGTCTCCAAGATTCTTCTTCAATTCGAAGGCGAGTAATCAGACCCTCAATTAAAATTCTTTTGTTTTGTGGCGAATTAAATTTAAAATTTTTTTTAACTATGAGGCAGTTTGTTAATAATAACATCAATTTGATTTTTTCATATAAAGACATGCATTCAATGATTACCTTATGAATCATTTGAAGTTCGTGACATTGAGCCTCCACAAACCTTTTATTTACCATCTAATACATCAAGTAGCGACTCACAACATGTGTGTTTGCTCTAGCCTCTTAGGTAGCATACTTGTTTCAGATCCTCCAAACCTGTAGTATCATAACTAATTTAATAATTGTACATATCATTCGTGAGTCCATTCGGAACATGATTTTTAAAGATAAATCATTCTCTTTCCATATGACAATTTCTCTCTTTGGTTGTAAATCCATTGCTTAAATATGTGTAGGAGATTCAGTTTCACGATAATTAATAGTTACATCTGAATCCACGTATTTCTTACCGTTAGTTTGCTCGTTTGATCTGAAAGGAACAACAGGAATTTCATGGTCAGAACATTGGCAAATCTTTTTAAGGTTAAGAAAAACCTTTTTTTTCATTACCAATATTTGAAATGAATTCCCTTAAAGTTGAACGATTTTTCAGAGATAGCAAAAGAAGCCCCGATAGTTTCGTCAACAACCATGGCGGTTCAAAAACATCTTGAAATTGTTGTTTCACAATTTTTGAAAATTGTCACTATAGAAATTATCGGGTTAAGTCACAAACTAGGTCGATCTCTTTAAGACGCTTCGTTACACTTTCCTAAATTATGCAAAGCACTCAATCAACCCCAACGGTTAAAACAATTCAATTCTATATTGTACGATTACTACTTTGCACGGTAGATAACTGGTCAAAAAATACACCCTATGATGGTATAAATACCAATCAAACCTCTAGCGGTACAAAGACCAATCAAATATATAATATATAAATATGACTCGTAATATTTAGTATAAATATCAGTCATAATAATTTTTCAAACTATGAGAAATTCAAATAATTCTCCAAAGAGAATTAAATAATGGTCGTTTGGTCACTCAAAATAATTTTTTAAACAAAGAGAAATTCAAATAATGATCATTTAACGACTTATATAATTTCTCAAACAAAGATAAATTCAAAAATTATTCTTTAAAAAAAATACAAGTACTCAAAATATTCAACATGTAGAGAAAAAGAGAGAGAAATTGAGACTTCGACAATTTAAAAAATATAAAGTAATGAGAATGAAAAAAGAAAAAAAAAACTTTTAATAAATTTTTAAAATGAAAGACATGCATTTCTTATATGAGACTAAACTAACATTTTCAATTAACACACAAACACTCTTAATTTTTTTTAGTAAGGTGAGACTTGAGTAAATATTTTCAATTCATTTCCGTATGTTTCAACTTTTCAACAATTGTAATGGACAATAAAACTCTATGTTAAAACTCTCTATTAAGAGTTTAAAAGCTGTTTCATTTATAGAGTTTTGCAAGATATTCAAATCTAATTTCTTTTTGCATGGTATCATGGTAACCATATTATTATTCTCATGTAAACTTGTCCATTGGTGACCTAGTGGAATAATACGAGAAAAAAGTTTTTAAAATTACTAGCCTAACAAGAAGCATGGCCAGGTGAAATAAGATCATGGTTGTTTTTAACTAAATCAGACCATTACTAAATGCCGTCTAGCATCAATTCTTATATCTTGCTTCATTTTTCTAATGAAATCGTCGAACTTTTTGTTTAACTCTTCTGTACTTAACATACAACTTTCTTCTTCTTCTTCTTCTACATAATCTTCTTCTTCTATATTGTTTTCTTCAATTAGAACGTAATCAATTTCTGACCCTTCATATTCCTCCACGTCATCTCCATCAAATAGTTCAACTTTTTCTTCATCTATCAAAATTATCTTTTCAATGTTTTCTTCTTCTACTTTTTCTTCCTCTTCTTCAGCACTTTGTTCATCTGGTTCACTAGTTCTCTTCTCAGCTTCTCTTTCCATCATTGGCTCATTGACCTCAACATCAAGTATATGAGATTGAGAACCTTCTTCCTCTTCAACTTCAATATATCGTACTGATGATGAATATTGTGAGTTATTGGAAGGTTTGTCATCATCTATTGAAGAAGTTGAGAAAGATTTGGTTAAACCAACAAAAACAAGGAGACCGTTACAAAGGAGAAACATGCTGTTCTTGTCTATGTTGTGAGTAAAGAGTTGAAAAGGTAAAGTAGAGAAATAGAATTTGAAGTAACGAAAGAAAACAAACAATGAAGAAGGTGAAAATATGAAAGAAAACAGTGATAGTGAAATGAATAATTGCGTAAACTTAATTAGATTGGAATTAGTTTTCATCCCCTGAGTTAGTATTGCTATGATTTGGTATTTGAGTTGACAAGTAGTGCTCACAGTGTTCTCTCTTCTGAAGAAATGAAAAGAAACTAAAGAGGGATTGGTGAATTAAAGGCATGAAGAACTCATTATATATAGTGGTGAATGGTGTGTGGAGAGGGTGTCTCTATAATTATTTTTGTTGGTTTTTGAAAAGAATTTATGCATCCACAATCTTAGAGGCCCATCAAACCATGGTATCTCATAAAATAGATGGATCAAATTATTATAGGTTAATTCTACTATTCATAAATAAAAGGTACATATATGTGTATGGTACAACACCTAATACACTTGTGTATTATAAAATTAATTCAAATTATATATAGTATAATATGAATTAGAGGTTGACTTATGTTGTTCTTAGGTGCATAAAAATATGACTTAAACCTTAAAATCAATGGTCCATTACACAGAGCTATCACTCCCACCCTATTACACATGCTTAATTGTTTCCATAAATGTGCATATATGTATTTGGCAGATGGCATGTTAGGCTAGATGTAATTGGCAGATGGCATGTTAGGCCGTATGATAAAGATTACATCTGTAAATGAAGATATTTTGTCATGTACATGATAGGTACTTAAAGGGTACGTAGTAGTAGTGAGTTGTCATCTATTATTTGTCAAAGAAATTTACAACTTTTATCTTCTTCAATATGAACAAGTTGAGGTTTGATTGTCAAGTAGCATTCATGCCATTCAAATTGATGGGGTGATGTGATATGCCGCAACCTACGGCAGTATCAAATAATATAAAAGATTTTATCGTTTTAACGATGACCAACTTTTTTATATATTGTGTTATATTTAATCTATATTTAGTTAAAGCTATCAGATTTTAATTTTAGGGAAATTTTGAACAAATAAAATAATTTTTAAAACAAATAAAATGTAAGATTTTTGGCTCATATACGAGGTTTCGGTTGATTATAAAAATACTAGTGAGATGTGTTCGCACGAATTCTAATGTGTTTCACACACTTGTTTTAAAAATAATTAAAAAATATTAAATATGTAAAATATAAAAGAAAAACAAAAATGCATGAAATAATTGAAAATTTAGAAAAATGTAAAACAAAAACAAAAAAGTAAATAAAAAACTTAGACAGAAAAATTAACAAAAGAAAAGGTAAATTATAAATTAGTGTAAAAATTATATTAAGAAAAAATTAAACACATATTTGAATGGTCCTAAACGAATCTTGGTGCGTACGGCTAAGTGGGAGAGTAGTGATTCAGGATGAAGACTCTAATGGGTCTAGGGATGATGGTGAAAATGATATTTTAGAAACTTTCATTTAGGAGGAATTAGATGAATCTACGAAGCACGAATATCGAGATAACCTAGGAAAGAAAGCGGGTGAAGTTAGTGTTTCCTAAGGATGTTAAGTGTGTAGCAAAAAGGCAAATTTTGAAGTGTGTAGCAAAAAAGCATATATTGGAGGTTATTTTAAAAGCAATAGTAGCTTTAGAGCTTCTAGGGTAATGAAGTTAGTATTAACAAGGTGATGGGACGGATTAGAAGTGACACCAATGACTTGGAGAATGTGGAAGGTATCCAGGATTAGTTGGATAAGTCTTTGGGACTAATGGCTAAAAATTAATTATTTTTGAACCATTTTCCATTCAATTTGGTGGGCCAATAGGGCCGATTGTTGGCCTCAAACAGAGAATGACTAAATTTCTAAAAGAAGTATACGAGCAAATTAGAATCTCATTTTCTCCTTCATGCTACTCAGCGCTTATTCTTTCTGTGAATAATCATTCTATGGCTCATGTTGTCCCAACAATAACTTCTTGCAACTCAATAAATTCTATACATCTTAATGAAGCAGAAGATGTAAACTCCAAATACTCTGGTGGTTCCATCCCGTGTTGTGAATCTATTAGTGATGGAGACGTCTGTAGCACCCCAAAATTTGTCTTATCGTTTCTTGACTTACTGGCTTATATTTCTCTGCATTTTTGCATTTCTGCATATTATGGCATTGTGTATGGAATTACGTGTGAGGAAGAGGAGTTATTGATATTGTACTACTAGCATTAATGTTTACAGAGAGGACCTGTGATATGGAATTGTTAAGTTGAATGTGTTGATCAATTAAATCCCATAATGCATATCAATTCTTCTTCTTTTTTTTATTGCAACTTGGATAGATTTGGCGAGTAGACGGTGCAGTTTGAGTCTTGTTAACAATATTTGTCAAAGGTGTTGTAAAAGTCTGTGGAGAGTTAAAAGACACAGGAAACATTGGTGCTTGTTCTACAACACATGTTGCACCGGTAAATGGTCGGCCCTGCTGTCAAATATAACTAAATTTCTAACATGCTATAACATATTATTTTAACATAATAGGATTTGAAAGTACACAAATAACAACTTGCAATAGAGACCCGGAAGTCTCAACTTGATGTTTATTTGGAGGAGGCAAGTATGGATTTAAGTTATCAAAATTTTAATGATAATGGTAGAAAAAAGTTGGTTTAGTGAAAAAAATAAGTTTTTGTTATTTAATAAAATAGTAGAGTGAAACCGCCTGCATACCCACCATTAAAAAGAGTCGGCCTAGTAATTGAGCCTGCACTTTCCAAAATTACATCCCTGCCTCATTCTGTTTATTTTTTTCATGAGTTTTTGTGGGACAGGCCTAACGAACATGAGCATGCATGTTTTCCCCTTAATTGTGTTGATGTTTCTAATTCACAAACATACATGTTAAATATAGAATCAAAAAATCTATATTTTAAAAAAACAATATATTTTATCACAGTTAGTTTTGACAATCGTAGTGATATGTAGCGTGTTATCCATTTAAATAAACGTCAAAAGTGGAGTTGTCAATATCGAACCAATGACCTTTAACATTTTCACTATGGTTACTTATTCCAATCGTTGTGATATGTAACGCCCTTTATAGTTTATTACCACGACCAATAATTTGTGATAGTAAGTATCTTGCTTACTACCACACCTTACACTATCACGGATCTTCAACCATGAGTATATGTCAATTCAAAGTGTTAGGATATGTATATTACATAGTAGTATATGCAATAGTAAATATTATGAAATCTTATGTTTAAAACTTTGACTTAAATACCAAACACAAACATCTCAGAATCTACATATGTGACAAGTACTTACTTGTAAGCGGCCATATTCAATGATTGATTATATGAAATTAGAACATCAAAAATTACTTGTTGAAGTCATGATTCGAAATCCATAAAGGATGAATTCCTGGATCTTCCTCTGCATCTCACACTCCCGTTCATACTTTCAATGGGGAAAATTATGGAGTCGTTCATTTATATTTCTGATTCTTGTGATTACATAATGGACCTAGCAATATAATATATATGACCCTAGTCCCTACTCATTATGGGTCAAGGGTTGAAACCCACACTTTTGTCCACGCTAATCAGGTTTCAGATACTCAGCCTTTAAATAAAAGATTAGTTAACCAATAAAAGAGCTTATTTATGCACCCCCCCCCCCCCTTAGAATCACGAATAACCTGTTTTCACAAAGTAAACAACAACAATTTATTGTAGCCCACAAAAGATATATAAATATAACATTCTCCCACTTCACCAAAATCAATTGTGTGATTTTTATTTTTAAAACACATTTCGAAAACAACTCTCGGGTTAATGACTAGTTTCTTAAAATGCGACCATATTTTAAGGAAATGCATGATTCCATGTGCAGTGTCTGAATATGACTCCAACCAACAAAAGTTAAGCAGTACTAAATCATAAAGATTATTATATCCTTCATTGACATAAAACCTTTTGTGGTTACAAATACTAAGAACTCTATCAATTAGTCATCAATGTGTAATGTGGCAAGAAAATAGCATGCCAATGTGATCCAGCAACCAACTGTTATTTTCTTTGTTAGTCCTTAACAGTTTTTCTCAAATGCATTAAATCCAAAGAAATTGTATGATTTTATAAACCATAACGCCTCAGCTCCAATATGGAATCGACCACCGGCACAGTGGTCCCGACAACGTTGAGCTTGAAATCATACCTTAGCTTCAATATGGCATCGATCACCGGTATAGTGGTCCCGAAGACGTCGAGCTCGAAATTATAACCATGCATCAAACTCCAAACTAGTGTCGACCATAGGCACGATGGTCCCAATGACACTGAGTCCCAATTTTAACAATTCACATATAAACAAACAATGACAGATAATAATAAAAATATTCGTTGTAATATCAATTGCTCAAAATAGAAAGTACTTGACAATCTAACACTTAAAGTGTCCAAAATAAATACAACATAACAAGAAAATGGCATAAGGTACAGACTCCCACTAAACAAGTATATCAAAAGAACTCACAATGCCCATGCTCTCAACATTGTTTTTGAATACAATGGGCCTAAGTCCTTTAGTTAGGGGGTCTACTAGCATGAAGTTAGTATCAATGTACTCAACAACAATCTCATTTTTCTTTATAAGATCTCTGACTGTCAAATACTTTGACTCCAAATGCTTAGAGTCGCTAGAAGTTTTATTATCCTTAGAGTAGAACATAATTGCATTGTTATCACAATAAAGCTTTAGTGGCTTAACAATAAAATCAACAATATTAAGTCCAATAACTAAATTTCTCTACTTGCATGGTAGAAGAGGCGACAAGAGTTTTCTATTTACTCTTCCAAGATATCGCACCTCTAGCCAGCATAAAAATGTAGCCATAAGTAGATTTCCTATCATCAACATATCCAGCAAGATCAGAGTCAGTATACCCAACTATTTTCAAGTTATCAACCCTC